AGGAAGCCCTACCTTCTGAGGATCAAAGCTACCCCAAGAAGGGACGGGGTGGGCTGTGGTAGCAACTGGGGCTCCCACTTCACCTAGAGGGGTCCAAGCACAGGCTGCGTATCCCAGGGAGGGCAAGGGCCAAGTGCAGGGTCGAGGGTGCAAGCAGATGACCTTCGGGGTGGTTCTAAGGCAGCTATGCTGTGGCGGCGCTGGGTGTGACCGGCTGCACAGGCCGCAGCCATCTCGGGAGAACCACCTGGCTGAGTCCGGGGACAGGGCGGCAGTAACTAGAGCCTAAGGTCTGGCAAACGCCCCTGACCACCTGTCAGCCTCCCTTGGATCAGGGCTGCCTTGGTGAACAGGTTCAGGCTGGGCTGGCACAAGGCTGTCCCTGGTCCCTCTCTAAAGAGGTGTTGGCTCCCTGTGCCCACAGGTGAGGCGGAATGGGAAAGAAGCTCTGCCACACAGCACGCCGACTCACAGCCTCGGCCCCCCAGGCTCTCCAGACCGGAAGAGGCTCTGGGCTCTGGGTCATGGGGCCTGGAAGGCTGAGTTGCCACACACCTGGGGCAGGTGCAGAAGTGGAGAGGCCTCTCTTGGTCAGGCCACGGGAGCAGGTCTGAGCCAGCGGGGAAGGGAGGTGCTGGCTAGACTGCTCCCTGGGACACCTGATCCCATCCTGAGGGAGGACCCCTCGGGAAAAACTGAAGGGACACAGTGTCACCTCTTCTTCCTCACAGGAGAACTCCGTATGAGCAAAGAACCTGGGCTGATGGGAGAGGTAGGGGGCCTCAGGGGACTCAGACCATCTCCCCCAATCAGTTGTTGGCTATAGCTGACCCTGGCGAGAAGCCCCCCAGAGCCTGTTCTTGGGAGACCCCGACCCTTCTGCTCTCACATACGATAAAAGGCGAGAGCACCAGGCTGGACTCCTGAGGCCTAGTCTCCCTGCTGGGGAACCTGGGCAGGCGTCCCAAGTCCTGAATGACCCAGGGTCTACCAGGGGAGCTGTACCAGTCTGAGGCACCCTGGGGAAACCTAGGATTGGTGTCTGAAACAAGGGAATGTAAATGAAGTCACCCCACCTTGCAGTCAGAAATGCTGGCCAACCTTGGCTGGCTGGCAGCCTCCTCAGTGCCCAGCTCTGCTGAGCAGCCCCCACAGCAGACTCTCAGGCTCACTGTCATCACCAGCTTTTCTCGGCCTGGGCAGTGACAGCTGGGTGGGGGCTGGGGACCACCACTGAGCAGAGGGGGCCCCACTGGCTCCCTTTCTCCCTCAGGAGTCACTAGGGGTGTGATGGGTGAGACCTGACAAACTCGTTCTGCGGGCTGCAGGTGAATGAGAGGGCGGATTCTCCGGAGCCAGCCCAGTGGGACTCAGGTCCTCTCTCTGTCTGGCACAGACCGGCAGGAACCCCAGCGGGAACCGGGCTCAGCATGGCAGCCACCAACTTTGTGCAGGAGATGAGCCTAGTGGGTGACAGGCTGCTGCTCAAGCTGCAGAGGCTGCCCCAGGCCGAGCCCGTGGAGATCGTGGCCTTCTCGGTCATCCTCCTTTTCACAGGTCAGTTGGGGCTCTCAGATTTTCCTCACTGCCCATGGCTCTTCCTTGGTGTCCCCAGGCAGAAGAGAAGCAGGTGTTCTTTGTGGGGAACCAAGGGATTTCTCCTAGTCCTTTGACATGCTACTCAAGTGCAGGGGTGGGTAGTCCTGGGAACCAGAGGCACCCCAGCACCCCCAACCCGAGGATGAAGAGGGCAGAGCTCTCGGAGGCGGGGAAGGTAGAAAATGGAGGAGGTCGGGCCCTGGTGGCCGGCAAGGGGACGGTCAAGACCTCTCATCAGACCCCCGGGCACTTCCGATCAGGGAGCCAGACCTTTGGGCAAAGGCCCTCCCCACCTCAACCTCCAGAGGGGCTTCTCTGGAAGGAGGTGGGCGTTCTTTGTCTTCCCATCTCGGAGTTTCCAGTGCCTTCTGCCTCTCTCCCCCAATCCTCCAGCCGCTGTTGTGCTGCTGCTGCTGATAGCCTGTAGCAGCTGCTGCACTCACTGCTGCTGCCCTAAGCCACGAGGCAGGAAGGCCCAAGTTCGGCCCATGACCCCACCGTGAGGGGTGGATGACCGAGGAGAGGAGATTGCCGGACCCATGGCCCAGGTGTCAGCCCAGCCCTGCAGCCGTCACCCCTCAAGACCAAGATCCACTCTCCCAGCTCTGGCCCTGCCCAGGAACCAGATACCGATACCTGGAGGCTTATCAGGGACATAAGGACTGTCATGGCCGCAAGACCGCCACCTGCCAATGAACACAGTGCCAATGTGGAGCTGACCGTCTCAAGGACCCAGTAAACCGCCAGGGTTCTTGGCCTACCTGCACTTTGTAACAAAACACAGAACTGGGGTCCCCAAACCTCGATGGGGAACAGCCCACATCTGTGGGGAGCTGGCCCTCGGGGTTATGCTGACCCACACCGAAGAGGAGCCAGCCAATGAGAGGGACTTTGTGCGACAGCTACTGAATCCCAAGCTCCCTGCCAGAGAGGGGGCATGTCCAGTATCTGCCTGCTTTTTCCCCAGTAAAAGCTTTTTGGTTATGTTTCTGCGGTGCCAGACTCCCCAGGCTGGGCTCTTGTGCCAGAATTCCAGGGGTGTGGCCAGTGACTGTCCTTTCAGGCCTCTGCTCTCCCTGTGCCCACAAAAGCTGGAGAAACACACAGGCGAGAATGCCACACGGGAGGGAATGCAATGGGACCAGCGCAGGGGGTGGGCAGAGAAATTCCTGTCACGCACTAGTTGCTAACCAGCTCTGGCTCCCAGACACCCGCTCTGCAGCGATGGAGGCTGTGTGTACCCCAGGCAGGTGCTGGCTCAGAAGTGCCGCTTAACAGTTTCCATTGCCATGATTAACTTCACCCTGTACATCCCATGCTAGCAGGCTCAGGCCCCTGGGTCTTCCCAAACTTCTGGGGTAAAAGACGAGAGGTCAGGCCCCTAGTACTGCTCCGACCCCTTCGCCCTTTCCCCGTGTGTGTGCCAGACTGTCTGGGTCCAAAGCCTCGCCCCCCTCGCCCCCAGCTGTGTAACTATAGATTAGTGACTTGATCTCTGGAGCCATGTTTCTTCCCTGTAAAGTGGGCTAATCCCGGTAACTGCCTCCTGGGGGACGCGCACGAGGATTCACTGAGATGACCAAGGCTGGGCACTTGGCACAGTGCCGGCAGAGCCCGAGAGCTCTGCGAACGTGAGTTACCCATTCGAACGAGGGGCCGATCCAGAGCAGTGCACAGGCTGGTCCTGCTGTTTTTTTTTAAACGCGACACTGCCCTGCCTCCCTCCCTTTGGTTTATTCGTCTTGCAGAGACTTTTCCAGGTAGAGCTCTGAACCCAGGAACGATGGTAGGGCAAGCAGAGGCTCCATGGTACCCCTCCGCTCCTTCCCCACTGGTCCCCCAGAGCCACGAAGTCTGACTTTTTTATATGCCTGTCATCTTGGCCTGGGCAGCCCATGCTCTGGCTGCCTGAGGGCAGAACCCCATCCCTCCAGAACACAGGGAGTGGGGAGGGGATGCCAGCCCTGCCACTGGCCCCCTCCAGCTGGCATGCAAGCAGGAGATGCTCTCACTCTAGCTGGTTTCAGTTCCTTGTGCCCATGGACTTGTCTGACGGGTTTGGTTTGGGTTGAAGACCCAGAGAGGAAGTGCTTCCATACAAAATAAAAGAAATCCAAGAGTCTGTCTGTGCCTTCCAGCCCCCCTCCGCAACCAACGAATGGGATTCAGAATAATAATAGATGATGATGATGATGGTGATGGTGATGGTGATGACAAGGCTTATACACGCTCAGGCATTGTCTTAAGAATTTCGACGCAGATAAATTCACTTAATCATCACAACAACGTCGATGCTGTAGATACCATTATTACCCCCATTTTAAAGATGAGGAATTGAGCCTTAGTGACACTAGGTGACTTGTCCAAGTTCAATCAGCGAAAAGTGGCAGAGCCAGCCTCTGGGCCCAGCTGGCTGGCTGCAGAGCCCCTGCTTGCCACACCCAGGGCCCCGAGGCCTCCAGCTACAGTGGATTCCATCACCCCCCATCAACCAGCCCTATGTCCCAAATACCCACACCCTAAACAGGCTCAAAATAACTCCCTGTGAGCGGGCGGGGCCCAACTAGGTCTCCTTCCCCGGAGGAAAACACAGGGAAGGTGGGAAGGACCTGATGGGAAGCCCTGCCTTCTTCAGTCCCTGGACGACAGCTGGAGGGTCTCTGGTAAGCCCTGGGTTCAGGAGCTGCTCCAACAGCATGACAGCCCAATCCCCTGTGACTTTTCTTTAAGCAAATTTCCATCGGCATCAAGAATGTCCCCTCCCAGGGGTGGCTGAGCCTGAGCCTCTTTGCTAGAAAAGATTCTGGCTTCCTGGTCCGGCTGCCAAGAGGTGGAGACCATGGACAGCCCTGGGCACCGACAGGCTGACTGGCCGGTTTATTTGCATTTTCCTTCTCTAGGCCGGATAATACCTAACTGCTGAGGTCCAAATAAGATGCTGTCCCTGCCTCGGAGGGTTGACTCCTCCCCATTCCTTGGTAAACTGGCACACACTGAACCCTGCCACCAATGGCTTCTCTAGCTGTTGGGCCAAGTCCTGGACAGGCTTCGCTGCCACTCAGCTCAACCAAGCAGATCTGCTCCGGCACCACTGCAGCCTGGCACACTCCCAGCAGAGGCAGCTCCCGCCATGGGTCTTCTCTGGGGAAGATGTGGCATGGAGAGGGGCAGCAATTCCTCCATTGTGGGAAAGAATAAACAGAGAGGCACAGCAAGAAAGGTGGTGGCCACGGAAAGGACGACCGTCGGGCTGTCTTGGGCCCAGAGAACGTCTGGCTGACTCTGGACACCACACTTCCCCAGTCCCCTGCCACGCAGTCAGGACCAAGCCGCCCTCAGTGTTTGCCTGCGGTCACTGCAGCAGCAGCCTCGCCAGTCTCTTGATGCCGCCCCCACACCAACTGTGGCCTCTGTGCCACCACACAGTGGTTTCTCAGTTCCTCAAAAAGGTGTCGCTCTGCACTTAAGATCTGTGCATTTTACTTTCTGCATATTACACCTTATCAGACACCAGAGAGGCCACCGGTGCAAGAATCTCATTGGCAAAACTTGGCAGAGAACATACAAAACGGTTTTCTCCTAAATCTGTTTTCTCGAACATTAACATTTGAAAGCAATCTACAATATAAAAGTCTTCGCAACAACCAACATATCTGCTTACGGATAACACCAATTCCAGATCATAAAAAACTGAGGACTAATTTTATCCTTAAAAATAGTTTCCTCACTCTCCTTGGGACCTGCTGCCTGCCATGGAACCCTGACTTCTAATTCTAGTTCTTCCTTCGTCTTCCTGTCCAGGAGAGTACTCGCGGCCCAGGCCAGGCTCTGCCAGATGCACCAACAGCCCTCTCTGCCTCCTCCCATCGTATTTCTCTCCATGGTGATGATTTCAGTAGAATTTTCTGATCAGGGCCAGCAATTAATTGAAAAAGTTTAAGCAATGTTTCTGTATACAACACATGCACTCTCTAAACACCTCATTCTAAACTGAAACATACACATGCACCTCCCTCAGCCAGTCTTTTTGAGGTAGGGCCAGGGTCTTGTCTTTGAGTGTGGGTTTGCTGACCAGAGTTCCTGTACTGTCTATTTGTTAATTTTGGCTTCTTTATAGCAGAGCAAGAACTTGAAAGCATCTACAAAGAAATCTGAGTGTGAAATCCTTCCGGATTTTGATAAAATGTTTATAGTTGTTTATGACAAAATAATATCTTAACGAGAATATTACTTGTGATTCCCAAATCATTCCTAAGTGGTCAGATAGGTATTTAGAGAAACAACTGTCTCTCTACTCACTCTGAGATACAACGCAGCTTCAGAACTCAGACTCTGTGCAGCTGAGCTGAACAGCTGGGTTCAAACCCCAATGCAGTTAACTTCTTAGGTGCATGACCACGGGTAAGTTGCTCAACCTCTGCGCCAGACCCCCAACTGCAAAACTGGGGTTGTAGCTATTCTTGTTGCTTCATTTTATTATGTAATTATAATAACTGCCACAAACAGCTTACTCTTGCTAGGCATCCAACTTAACTGATGGAGCAGAAGTACAAGGGTGTGCTAGAGACCAGCCCACTGGCTGGGAGCACTCGGCAGGCCCAGGGCATTAGTCAGGGGGCTTTACAGAAGGAAATGTGAAGCATCAGGTAGGCCAGGGGTCAACGAAGCCGGTGATGGTTAAGAACGACTTTGCCGAGCTTGCTCATCACCGGTCTCCTCCCACCTGGCAGCCCATGAGAATCGCCTGGCGAGATTTACAAAGCACGGGGCTCTGACGTGTCCCGAGACTGATATAAGTGGTAGGAAGTGAGGCCTGGGCACAGGCGTTTGGAAAAACTCCTAGATGATTCTGCAAGCTGGGCTGAGGACCAGTGCGCTAGAATGTAGGCTCTGGGAGGGCGGGGTCTGCCTATCATGGTTCACAACTGGACGGCATGCCTGGCGCAGTTCCTGGCCACAGCTGGCATCTGAATCCTGTCTCATAAAGGAGAGGATGGTGGCTACCAGGTTTCACGTGCCAGGGCATCACTCCATTCCCACTTCCTATCACACCAGTGGGTAGGAACCAACCACGGGAAGCCGCTGAGGCCGTGCCTGAGAGGCAGACAAAGGCCCCAAGGGAGAAGTTATGTCTCCACAGGAAACCTGGGCCTCCATGGTGATAAACACATCCACCCAGAAACTAGCTCAGGAGGGGCCAGCGGGAGCTGCGGTTAATCATTCACCACGCACACAGCAAGGGAGCAGCCTGTGCCGCAGGTCTGGCCCAGGGCTTCCTGAGCTCAGGGCAGGGCCTTTTACTCAAAAGGTCATCTAAAGGGACAGTAGAGGGAGGACTCAGCCATAGGTGAGGCAGAGAGATGGCCTGTCTCTTCCCCTACCCACCCCCCAAGTCTGACTTCTCTTAGTGAGGACACCTCAACACACGTACCTCAAGCAGCTCCCTGAAATGAACATCACAAAAGGGCAGAACACAGCGGAGTGTTAAGTCTGAAAGGCAGAAAAGGCCCAAGGGTTGCTAGGCAATGGGCCCTAGCCCATCTTTGTTTGCTCTGGTGACAACAATGAACTCTGGTCAGGGCCACTTGGTAATGAGAATACCTTTTCCTCCAACAGTTGCTTCTTTGAGTCAAAGTGCAACTCTGGTCACCTGCTAGCCTCTGGTTCAGGCCCCCAAAGTGTGGGGCTGACAGCTTACCCTCATCTGCCCTCTCTTAGGAAACAGAATCAGGTAACAACTGCCTCCTTCCTCTTCAAGTGGCTACAGGCTTGCAGCCTGCTGCTCTTGACTGTGTTTCTAGAAGATCAGTCCTGTTTTCAGCTGCCTCTAAGGAAGTTTACTGAGGTCTCAGCTTCAGTCTGCCCACTCCGCTGCAACTATGCCCGTCTCTCAAAATGTTTCCCAAATGTTTGGCAATTGAGACAGGAAAAATAGGAAGGATCGAGAGCAGAGCTTTTTAGATTCTAGCTAAGCAGGTCTCAGGGATAGGAGAGGAAGTCCGTGCTCACAACAGGGCTGTTAAGGAAAGGAGTGGAGAAGCCAGATGTAGCCTCCAGGAAGAACCCAAGTCCTTGCTCCTGTCTCTGCAGAGGAGGAAAGTCCGTTCGTTGCTTGCTGGAGGCATCGAGCCCAAAGACCCACCATCAATCACTTCAGTGTCTACTAGCTGGGGGGTGGGCCGGCTGTCCCCTGAGATTGCTTCAGAGGGTGAACTTGGAGGAGGAGGAAGGAGAGTAACACCTGGGCCAGGGCCTTGGAGAGACCCCCGCACTCAGAGCCTGTCCCCTTTTCTAGGTTCACATGGACACACTGATAACAAAACCGTGGCGCATCTGGAATGATGAGTTCTGGCAGAGGCCCTGGGACCTTGGGGGCCTGGCAGTGATCAGCTTATTCGTCATCGTGGTCCTGTTTCTCACCTTGTTTGCTACTATATTTGGTATACTCTCTCCACCTGAGGTGACTCACAAGTATGAAGAGTCATGACCTGACTCTCAGGGGGCCAAGAAAGGAGCCCCCTGTGACACACTCTCAAAACACCACGTGCCTTTCCTTTTAACAGTTTGGAATTAAAATTTTTTTTTATGATTTTACGATGTGTTTGTCTTCCCCACTGGACCAAGTACCATAAAAGCAGGGGATGGGTCCTTTCGTGTTCGCCCCTGTATCCACCACGACCACTGTACCTAGCACAGAGTCAGTATCAACCAATATTTGCTGGTTGAAAAAAATGAATGAATGAACAAATGAGCAAGCGAATGGATAAACAGAAAGATGCAGGGCCACTGGCTCCCTCACCAGTGAGCCCAAGAGATGACAGAGCCCAGTTCAATCTAGACCAAAACGTGGAGCTGTTCTTCCATCTCAAACTAGGTGCTGAGGCCTCCAGGCCAGAGGCTGCTTGAAACCTAATTACTATTCCTTTTGACACTAAAGGATAAAGAGCCCTGTCATGAATAATCAAGTGCTCTTTGTGACCATCACTCAGAGGAAGTAGCTGTATGCAGAGAAGAGAGGAAACTCGCTGGCGCCCCACCCTGGCCTCATGCATCTGACACAAGTATCTTTTCCGTTGGTCCCAGAGATGCCCAGGTAGCCCTCACAGGATCCCACAGCCCCCATGCACCCCAGCTCCTACAATGCTGTCTTTGTAGAAATGTATCCGCCTCTGCCAAAGTCACCACACTGGCCTGGCCCTCGCTGCCAGGTCCCCTCCCTTAGCAAACAGCTGCTTCAACTTCAACCTCAAACCAGGACTATTCTTTGAAAAGGGGCAAGTATCTGGAGGGGAAGTGGCCTTTTCCTCACACTGTACACCATTTATACAACAAAGGAATGTCCAAAGAGCAATTTCAAATCCAGTCACATCAGCAGCGTTTATTTCATTCCAGGGCCTGGAAGTCCTAGACACTGGGACCCTCAAAAGTAGCAAATGAGATAGAAGAGATGAGGCTGCACAAAGGGCGGCAGAAAGTCTGATGCCTGGAGCCCCCAACACTAAGTTCCAGCTCCCTGGCATGAGACAGGAGCAAAACAGGCAGAGGCCCCTGGGAAGGCCTAGCCTCTTGGGATATGGCAGGGCTAAATCTCCGGACAGCCCTACAGAGCCTCAGACTCATCCGGGACAAGAACCCGGCCAAGGTTATTTCCAGCAGAGGGGACTATTACAATTAGCAAGGACACTTGGCCCTTTCATTATGAGTGCTTTGCTCAAGGAGCCTAAGAAGACCTAATTGAGCACCTCCCTGTACCAGTGCCTGAAAAAGGCTCTGTTCGAAACGGCTGAGTGGTGTCGGGGAGAGGACGGTCCAGGCCCTGCAGCCAACCGCCTCTGCTCGGCATGGCCAAATGAGAGATGGCTGCCTGGAGAAGGAAAGGGCTTCAGTCTGGGTGCCACCCGGGGGTGGGAATCAAAACACAGGGCCCAAATAAGCTCCTCCCTGATTTGCAGAAAAGAGCCCCGACGTCTGCCAGACACCAGTACCTCATGTGTAATGAGCTTCACGCTTCAAGAACCTGGTTGTGCAAAAACCAAGATGGCACATACATATGAAAATGTGCATGTCACTGAATAATGGGAGATCTGGGCTTAGCGGGTTCTGTCTACTATGAGCTTTGTGACCATGACCTCTCTGGACCTCGGTCTGTTCATCTCTAAGTCTAAAGCAATCAATTCTGCCTCATCTATCCGACAGGGCTGTCCAACGAGATCTGACCAATGAGAGCAGAAGATTCAAAGAGCTTTGCAGATCAAAAGGCTACACAAGTACAAAGTGCTCCCAGCTTGCCCAGAGGCTTCCTGGATGTCTCTCACACGGTGTACTCACAGCTGCTCATGCCCAGACCCCACCCTGCCACAGCCTGCTTGTCACTGCAGCTATCAGGCTTTTTCAGGGCACCGACTATATCAGCAGATGCAGATAAAATAGATAAGTGGGTTCCAAGTGGGCAGGCTGGTGTTATGTTAGAAAAGCTGACTTCCCTCCAAGCATATTTCCCAACCCCGCCAAGAGATAAGCTGGGTCGCACGCCTCTGTTTGGCTTCAGGATAAGTCACTATTACTCAAGTGAAGCCAGTGGTCCAGCTCAGTGGCATGCGATGACCACAATGCCAATGGCTCAGAACTGGTCATATGACTCAGGCCTGAGTCACTTATGGGGCCAGCCATTCCAGAAGGCGGTGAAGTAGAGTGGATGGACGACCACCCAAAATATTCAATGAGTCCTCGTACCACCAGAGTTGCTGGGGGCCTTCCACAGAAGAGGCTGCCTGACAGGAAATGCCCCAAGCAATGGCTTTCGGCATGAAAGCCATGGGCCCAAGGGTTGCCCCCACATTAGCTGGTTAACTAGTGGATGCTGCAGGAAGAAAAGATTTCACTAACACTTTGTTCCGGAAACTCATGAAATAACTCACCCCAATTCTTCACAGAAGGTCACCAAGGCATCAAAGGCCAAGAAGGCAGATTTATCAGATGCTTTGTTCCCTCTCTTTTCCTGGAGACAAGAAATGACCATTTAGCAAAAGTCCTACATAGTTGGACTACCTTGTAACCTAAAAATTGATGAAGGAGATCAAATCACATTCAGAAAGCCACTTATGAAACAGTGTCTCCAAACCTGATCATGCATCAGAAGCACCTGAGTAACTTTAAAAGAGTAACATAGGGCCCACTCTCAGACTACTGAACTGAACTTTCTGGAACTGGAGCTTTTGAGAGTTGATATTTTCAAAAAGCTGTTCAGGTGATTCTCATGCAAAGGCCCATGAACTGGCATCTGAGAACTACTGTGTAATATGATCTAATTTAACAGTAGTAAATACAAGCATGAGTATGTGTACTTAGGTATGTGGGAACCTATGTACCTCTGTGCGTATGGAAGGATATACTGCATACTAAAATGTCAACAGCAATTACTTCTGAGTGTTGGGATTATGTTTTGTCTTTACGTACTACATGCCTATTTGTCAAATGTTCCTTTTAAAAAGTTGTGAAATTAAAAAAATATATATACAGAAAAGTAAAGATACAAAAGACACTGGTATCTGAAACGTTATCTATTAACTTCCTGTTTCTGGAAGGTGAATCATCCTCACCTCCCAAATGCAGAGATACACACATACTTCCTCTACCCCCATTCTCTCTATATGTTTATACCACAATTTCTTCCTGTTAAATCATAATGTTCCTTATTATGACTATGTCAATACTGTTCAGAGCTAAAGCACGTGATTACATTTTTACATTTCCCATGATCACATATCCTTCTACAACTTTGTTTCCCCTGAAATTAATAGCTGCCTTGTTTTCTCATTTACTTAGACTTCAGTGTATCACTAATTCACCCTCAAATGTTCTGACATCATAAAAACTCATTTTATTAGGGGCCAAAGATGGCAGGTTCCACTTTTGTCTTTGAAAACTTCCTTCCTGGAGCCTCTGTCCCCCCCGGTTTGAGTCCTGGACCACTGTTCTCTAGGCCTGGTGTACAGCTGGCTCTCTGGGACCACCCTTCCATATGTTCCTGGGGCAGGGTCCACATTCCCTTACTCAGTTTACTGCCTCCGCAGTGGAGAACATCTTTTTTTTTTTAATTTTTAATTTTTCAATTGGAGCTGACATTCAATATTATATTTTATTAGTTTCAGGCGTACAGCATAGTGGTTAGAAATTTATATATAATTTACGAAGTGATCCCCCCAATAAGTCTGGTACCCACCTGGCACCATACAGTTACTAGAATGTTATTTGACTATATTCCTTCTGCTTTACTTCACCTCCCTGTGACTATTTTGTAACTACCAATCTGTAGAAGAACAAAGAGAACATTCTTTAGCAGCTAGCTTTTCAATGTGAGAGTTTTTTGAAACCTTGTGTCTGAAAATGTCTTTATCTACCTTCACACTTAATTGGTTGGCTGGGTAGAAAATTCTAGACTGGAGATTCTAGTTTATTTGGAATTTTAAGGCACTTGTTTCATTGCTGTCTCGTTTCTGCTATTACGATGGAGAAAACGGATGCTTTTCTAGCTCCCAGTCCTTCATGTATCACCTCTCCGGAAGCTTTCTGGACCTCCTCTTTATCTCAAATGACCTCGAAGGTCACAATGATAAGCCCGGTGTGAATGCTTATAATTCGTTGTGTTAGTAAGCTTTAAATAAATACTTATACTCAATCACCAAAATCTTTTCCTTGTCTAATGTGAATTTGAGATAAGAGATAAGTTAATCACACCCCCTTAGTTCATAGCAAATGATCATTCTTAGTCCACGCAAGGCCCCTTCATCCCCAATCCCTACATGCATTCACCTTCTCTCCCCATTCATTCATTTATTCAGTAAACGTGTGTTAAGCACTTACTGTGTTCCCAGCACTGATCTAGGCATTACAGATACACAGGAAATGGAAGGTCCCTGCTCTCCTGGAACTTACATTTCCATAGAGCAGGTAGAGAATGAGCTGACCTATACTGTTGAAGAGTGATCAATGATTTTTTTTAAAAACGAGACAGGAGCTTTCCTGGGCCGTCAGCTATGCCTATTACCCCATGGTGAGTATGTACTATAATTTCTTCAGCCCTCATTGCTGATAGTTTGTTTTCCATTTTCTGTCCTCATGAACAATTCTGCCCTACAGGCCCCTCGAGCACATGAGCTTATGCACTGGCACTTTCATTTCATGAGACAGGGAAATAGGAGATCTGGGTCAAGGGCCATTTTACAGTTTACTAGGTATTGCTAGATTACTTCTCCCAAAAAAGACTGTAACATCTCATCTTTCTCTTGGCAAAGTGCAGGCACTGTCTCTTACACACGCTCACAAACAACAGGTGTTAGAGCTCTTTTACATGTGTGTCGAATCATGTTTCTTTAATGTGCATTTATTTGATTACTATTGAATGCGAACACCTTTGGATGAGCTTTTCCAAGAACTTGCTTTTCATGTCCTTTGCTTTTCATATCCTGTGTTTTGTATCAGTGGATGAAAGCTCTCTGTTCTCAACTTTAACCTTTTATTTGCCTTCCACATTAAATATTTTTCCAGATCTACCATTTAGCTATTGACTTTGTTTATGGTATCTTTTGCACGTAAATTTTTTTCATAGGTTCAGAATTTAAAGAAATTTAAGAATTTTTTATATATATTCAAATATTTTTTTTATTTCTTCATTTTTACATGTAGGTTCTTACCCTATCTCTTAAATTAGGTGTTAAATGGGGCCCTTTTTTTCCAGAAGGACAGCCCATATGTCAGCACCACCTATTAGACAATCTACTTTTTCCATTAAACTGAACTATCAGCTTCATGAAATAAACTCTCACATATTCTAGGACTTATTCCTAATCCTCTCATCTGTTTCACTGACGCTACTGTATTCTGTGGATTTGATGACAGTTGCATTACCGCACGTTCTGATATGGGGTTAAGCACATCCCTGTCACCATTCTTCTTTTTCATATTTTTCCTAGCTGTTCTTGGGTTCTTATTCCAGCACAGAAATTCTAAGATTCCACTTTCTAATAAAAGCCTTTTGGGATCTCAAATGGAACTTCATTAGATATTTATACTAACTTTGAGAACTGAAAGTTTTATATCTTCTCTTTGAACCCATTCAGAGCCTGTTTGCTTTCAATGAGATGTGAGTTTTCTTCAGCTAAATCAGTGGTTCTTATCCTTGGCTGCCTATTAAAATCAACTGGGGAGCTTTGAAAGTCTCTCGTTACTAGTCTATAACATTTGCTTCCAGGTATTTTATAAGTTTTGTTCTTGCAAATTAAATATCTTTTCATTTCCATTCCTAGGTGTTAACAGTAATGCAGAGAAAAACTACTGTTTTAAAAAAACATTTCTCTTACATTCAGCCACCTTGCCAGGTTTTCTTATGAATTCTAGTAGATTTCTAGCAGTCTTTGAGATTTTCTAAGCAGACATTTGTTGTCATTTCTACCTCCTGGTGTCTTCTGTCCTGTTCTTGTCCTTTTGAGTTTATATAGATTTTTGTCCTCACATTGTCATTTTGGTGGGGATCAGAAATAAGGACTTGTGTTCAATCTTTCTTCTGTGGAAAAGTCTACATGCAGCCTTTTGCAACTTCATACATTATGCTTTGAGAAAATTTATCCACGTGTAGATTCATGTAGATTTACTGGGTCATTTTATTCCAGACCATTCTACTGTGTGACAACTCCACTCACGTGTAGATTCATGTAGATTTACTGGGTCATTTTTAACTATTCCAGACCATTCTACTGTGTGACAACTCCACCGTTTACTTATCTGACACCTTACAGAGGAAGAGTTCGATCTCACTATTATGGTGTTCCAGCAAACATCCCTGTACATCCTTGTACACATGCAACCTTATACATTTGACAACTTGTCCACCTAGAAGTGGAATTACTGAATCACAGAGTACCAGTACCCTCCACTTATACGAATTGCCTCGTCTCTCTTCGAATCAGTCATGCTGGTTTAAATTCCTGACCACATTGCGAGTTACCCTTTCCCCGCGTCCTCACCAACAATGATTACAAAGATGATTTACATTTTTGCCAATCTGATGAGTATAAAACTATAGCTCATTGTCTAATTTGCATTTCTCTGATTCCTAAGTGACGTTGAGCAACACTTCATACATTTATTAGTCTGGTTTCCTCTCCTGGGAAATTCATACTTTTTGCTATGTAGCTGTTTGCTTCTTATTTACCTGTAGGAGTTTTCTACATATTCAGTCAATTATGTATATTGCAAATATCTTCCCCAACAATGGCTCATTTTTCACTTTGTTTATGGTATCTCTCATTATATAGACATTTTTAGTTTGAATTAAGTTAAATAGATAATATCTTCCTTGATGGTTTCTGCTTTTAAAATCTGGACATACTCTTCCCTTCCTTAGGCCATAATATAGTTTCTCCCCAATTTTACAGTTTTTGAGGTCTTTAATCCATCTGTAAGTCATATATGTATGGTATGGGAGGTAGGGATCTAATATCATCTTTTTCCAGCACCCATTATTCAACAGTTCATCCTTTTTCTGTTGATTAATAATGCTACCTATCATACACCAAGTTCTCTTATATACTTGGGTCTGTTTCTAGGCTTTCTACAAAGAATGTATAACGATTAAAAAAATAAAAGGCCAAAAACAAAAACAAAGAACTTATAACAATATGGAGAAATGCTTATATAATGACACTAATTAAAACAAGCCAGAATGACCTTGACTTTGTAAAACAACATCCATGCAAAAGACTAAAATAGAATAAAAAGAAAAAATTCTAACCTAGCTTGTTGCAAACTGCCCATCCACCAACACACAATTCCCATTTTCCTACACCTTCTAGCCCCAGGAGCAACTCTCTAGCTTATAGAAGCGCCATCAGAGTTCAGAAATAAGCTGCGTGAAATTGGGAGTGGTGCGTTCAGACAGAAAGGGCTACAACTGCCCAGGACTCACCTGGAGTTTTGCTACTTCCTTCCTGATCAGGAAGCTGACTTGGTCCCGGTCGTTCCTGGAGTAATAGAGACGGCACCAGGAAGGCTTCCCGTCCCTGCCTGCCCGGCCAGACTCTTGGTAGTACCCAGCCATAGACTTGGCGATATTCCAGTGGGCAACAAACCTGTAGGATCCAAAGGGACAAGCAGCATAAGCTGTGGCAAAAGACCGGAGGGAAGAGTGACTCTGAGTCAGTGGAGCAGGGCTCTCCACAGTGACCAGGAGTGGGGAGGCTAGCGGGTGGAGGCAGAGAGGATCCCAGAGTTAAGTATGGCTGAGACACCTGCAGTCCATCATCAGGCCTCCCATGGAGCAAGCGAGGGTAGAGGCCATGGCAGTTAAGGGGGCAATTCCAGTGAAGATGAGAAACCAAAAAAAAAACTCATGGTCGGAGGCCCAGTGGACTTAAACAAAAAAATTAGGCCACTTATGAACTGCACAACCTTGAAAAAGTCCTTATAACCTTTTTGAAGAGGTAAAGGGATACATTTTTTTAAAAACCTACTAGCCAGTGTATATATTTGTCTCATTCAATTGTTAGTCACCACCATGTGAGGTAACTCCATTTTAGAGACTGTGAACTTGAAATTCAGATAGGTAAATTTCTACAAGGTGACATTACAAGGGGACGATAGAACAAGGGTTGAACCTATGTGTGTCTGACTTCAAAGTTGACCCCTTACAAGACACAGCCAACCCAGGGTCCAAACTCTGATTCCAAAGTCA